TAGCTCAGTTCATGTCTTGGTATTTCCGACACCATCACTACTTTGTGCTTTATTGCTTAAATTTGTATCCGAGGATATATATATATGTATATATATATAAAAAAAGAAAAAAAAAATTACCCTTACTCATCTACTCGTCCGCATCTTGGTGGCAGCCTTCGTCATTCCCGGTGTCTTTCAGAAGCTCTAGTCGAATGGAATTGATTGTCCGACCCTTGTACTGAGCTGTCAGTGCGTCTACTACCTCTTCGAAGTCTCGCTTCTGTTTTTCGGCAATATTCTTTATCAGATCGAAAAATTGACGCCTGCGCCTGAATGCCTTGTGACGCGCCTCTGTGAATGGCCATTTGTGATTTTCCTGCTTTGCCTGAGCAACGGGCCCACGGAATTCATCCCATGCTTCCCTGACCGTCAATTGCTTGCCATCGCCTTTCATGAGGTAGCCTTTATACCTTTCATCTTCCGGCAATCGTTGTGTCTGCTCTGAGGTCATTGGAGCCTGCACATGGCTATGTTGATATGGATGCTGTTGCTGAGGACATGGTGGCAATTGGTTGGAAAATAATGGCTGCTGTTGCGGTGGAGCGGCCTGGCGAGCTTGATATAGGCCCTGCGTAGTAGGAGCCTGAGGAACCGAAGGAAAAGAAGCTAGGCGGCTCTGTGCTGGCGCCAATGGAGAAGGATTAAACACAAAGGGCGGGCAAGACTGCACATGATATGGAAAAGGCTGCCGCACATTTGCGCTTTGTTGCTGCTGCAGCGATTGGAGAAGTAAGTGGATTTGCTCCTGTTGCTGCCTCTGTTGCTCCTGTTGCTGCCTCTGTTGCTCCTGTTGCTCTGTCACAAGGGTGGATAGGGCCTCGAGCTTCTGGACCGTCTCATGCTGGAGTTGATGAAAGACCCGCGCCTCTACCGACAACGTGTTAATGGCGCTTACCATAGTTTGCGCATTAACTGGCACATCCGCTTGGATGATGCCTGCTTGTCGGCGATGTACGTCGATGGCCCGAAGCAATTGATGTTGGAAATCCAGAAAGAGCTGGCAACCAAAGATTTCTGGTAACGATTCGAGGAGTTTGTTCTCCAACATTTTCCCCTTGTCGTTCGGCTTCAAAAAGAGCACTGCATCCTGAAGGATTACTCGCCTCATACGCACAAGAAGTTTGAGGAACCCAATGCGTGTAACAAGGGAGTCAGTGCTGAAGGCACGGGTCAATCGTTTCGAGCTCGTCTTCTTCTCGATTGGCGTCCAAAAAATGTCTTCGTCTGTCGGGACATTTGGATCGACCCCCAGCATTTCTTTGGTGCACTCCTCTCTCCAGGAGTCAGCTCTCTCCGGCATATGTTTATCAAAATTTTCCTCAATCCAAGGAAAGACCAGACGCTGGAGCTCTAAGGGCGGGGTGACCAAATCACGCTCGATAAAGTAAGGCTCATTCGGTCCAAACTGAGCCATACAAAAAGCGCCCCTGGTTGGGTTTTTTGGAGCATAGAAGTTCTCCATTTGCCCCATGACCCACCTTCCCAAGTGGCGAATATCGTCCAGGCTTAAGCCTCTTTCGTAGGCTTCCGAGACCCCTGCATGTCGGCCAGAGTGCGTAATTTTGGCCGAATGCACGTCGCAGGCACGCATTACAGCCGCCGTAGTGCTCATTTGGGTTCGGCCAACAAGCGCTTCCTTTCGGTTCTCTAACCGTTCTTGGCTTGTTCCACCCCCTGTTAGCACCTTGATGCTGTACCACTCGTCAGGGTCCGCAAAATTGGGAAGAGGCTCCTTGAACACCTACAATAGGGAAAAAAAAAAAAATAAGGATATATGTCACTTCGTGTAATTGAATGAGAAAAAATCATACGCTCGCGTCAAGACTGACGGCATCATTTACCTGGAACCGTTCTAGCATATAAAATGCAAACCCGCCCACGGTGCACCTTAAGAACAGCTTATGTCGATAAGCTGTCGCATAGAGTTCGACACCTTTATGGTTTGTCTTTCCACGTGTGATGCAGAAGACAAGCCCCGACGCCAGCTTTGACCCTGGCGCGGGGTGACGGGTCTGAATATTGAATGTGTTAGCCAGGTTCAAGTTTCGGATGTCCTCATCCCGCAGCAACATATGATGGCGTGCAAGGAGGCATAGCCTCTCCCTCATATACTGAAATCTTGTAACACTGTCGTAAGGTCGCCTGCCGCTTACTCCAACCGTCGGAAGCATGCGCCATGTAAAGGCCAACATACGCAGGTACATTTTAGTGTTGTAAGGTTCTCGTACGGCACAGGTGGCAGTGCGAGATAAGGTGCCTGTCGTTACTTTGTGATGGACAAGTTTCTCTCCATAATTTTTGATCGCCTCCGCTAGTGGTACATCCGTTCTTGGGTTTGGGGCGGGATTGGGATACGGAGCTGTCGAAGAAGACTGTTGCCTCCATAAGTATTGCAAAGCCTTCTTAACATTTGCGACTGTCCCCAGCGTGAGAGGAACAAAGACAATTTTGCTGCCATGTTTGTCCTCTGGTGCTTGCAGGATAACTACAAACGCAAAAGTATATCCAAAAAAAAAAAAAAAAAAAAAAATTGTATATATAATAAAAAGTATCAACCATTAGTGTAAATTGTAACAATCAAAGATACATTAAGGTGGATGCAGGATTAAGGAATGGTTTATTAAGTCATAATTTAGTAGGCTATTTATATTGATAATTAACACTGAGTTGCGGCCATGGTGTCTTGTCACCTGGGGTACGCGTGATGGCGGAGCCTTCCCAAAGGTTTGGATCCCAGTACTGTATAACAATTTATATATTAATACATGGTTATCTTTACATACCTTGTTCTCTTTCATTTTCAGTCCTGATAACGGCTGCAGTCTTCCGCTTCGGCGTGATGTTCTTGCTTGAACCCCCAACAGTTACAGCTTCATGTGATGCTCGCTCCTCATCATTCAATGCTATATCAATCTGCCATTGATGTGGGTCGACTCCTTCAGGTGGCTCCATATTATCCCAGGAGGGAGGAGCCTTCTTACCTCTCTGTGCCAATGACCTCAGCTGAAGCTCCAGATCTTCATCCTGTTCCTGTTCCTGTCCTTGTTCCTGTTCCTGTTCCTGTTCCTGTCCTTGTTCCTGTCCCTGCCCCTGCCCCTGACCCTGTCTCCGTTCCTGATCCTGATCCTGACCCTGTTCCTGACCCTGTTCCTGACCCTGTCTCTGACCCTGTCCCTGTTGTTGACCTTGGTCTATGCTTTGGCCGTCGTCGTCATCAACTTGCTCGCTGTTATCTAATGTCTCCAGTCTCTGCTCCATGTCGCTTAGTTCATGTTCGTCGATATCTGCCTCGACTAATTCGTCGATCTCTTCTCCCTCATAGACTGCGTCTTCCCCAGCCTGAGAATTCGAAGAATCTCCTCCACCCTGCTGGGCATACCCAATAGCGCCACGGTAGCAACGATCTGTGCCGATCAATCGCTTTACTGTTCGCTTGAAGACAACCGTTGTGAAGTATTCAAGCATGCGTTTCGCATCGACGCTACAGTCACCTTGATAATTTTCATTGCAGTATTGCTAAAAACAAAAAAGAGAATTAGCCAAGTCGTCTAGTTTGATAGCCTGTCTGAGATAGCTCATAGCGACATTTTGATGATCCAACATACCTCCCACAGCCGGAGCTGTGTCTTATATTGATTCACTGTCGTCGATGAATCTGGATCATCTAAAATCATCTGCAGCACACTTCTCGCCGACTCCTTCCGTGCGTTCGCCAGGGCCAGCTCTTCTTCTGTCAATGGACCGGAGTGAAGGACATTTGAGGATAAAGAATCAGCCTCACAACGCCTAGGGCGCTTAAAAGACTTTGCACTAACTCTAGCAGTCTGTGCCACTGGTGAAGGCTCTGGAGTCGTTTCGTCAGTCAGAATAACTCTTTTTCTCCTCGGTGTTGCACGAGTGGATCCAGTGCGAGTACTTGAATTGGTTGGCTTCGTCTGACTGGTGCTTTGTTCCAAATCCATGCAGGTGAAATTGGATAAAATCTTTTCGTTGTTGTTTGTCATTTTGAAAGTGAGCAAGCAGGAATGAACCTTTGAAAATGCGAATGTGCCGTTATTTTTCTCAGTTTTAGTCAGGGGAGAGGGTAAGTCTACTCTGTGTATTGTAGGTTTTATTGTTTTATTGTGTATATGAATGTATGGAGGAATGAAGGCGTGAAATAAAGAAGAAAGAAAGAGATCTTTAGCATGCCATGATGACATTGTTAAAATTTCGATGGATTTGATGTCAATTCAAATTTCAGGACAAGTGTCGGAGTAAAAGCCACAAAACGGACACATGTCTTGTACGCACAGACATGAAACATAATACCCTTAAATGGAAAAAGGACTGGATTTGGCATCATAATCCATTATAGATTATTTTATGCAGAACATGAGAACATGCGTCGATCATAATAGACCGACTCTCTGATAGGCCATGGCTCTCAAAGGAGACTTAAAAAAAAAAAAATATTATTGGACTGATCATCATACATGTCAACGCCATCACACGCTATCTCTAGCGTCAATTGCAACCTTCCCTTGCTTTGCGCAGCTCGGCTTTGGTTTTGCTTTATAATCAAAAAAAAAAAAAAAAAAAAAAAGTTGTCCGGTTGCGTTTCCCAGAAGGGGCTGAAATCAAATCATTATCTTGTTCTTGATTACTGTTGTCATCTAACAAAGGGGATCTATTACTGTTTATAAAACATTTATTTAGACTTTTTTTTTTTTTTTTTTTTTCTTACTTATTTACATGTACATGTACATGTACAAGTTTCCCAGGGCCCATCTTCAAGAGAACAAGATTGTTGTTTGTTGTATTGTTGTATTGTTGTATTGCTGTACGCGTGCAGCTTGCGTTGGCTCGACGTTGTTACAGTGCCAAAAAACTCTAATAGGTCAATTGATCGAAAAAATTTTCTGGTCAATTACTAATGCATCCTTCAGCACCCCTTTTCCTATTGGCAGAAAAAATAAAACTCATTTCAAAGTTATTTTGTCTTTTACTCTCTTCCTCTTCTTTCATTTTTTCATTCTTTTTATCTTTCATTCTTTCATTCGATCGTTCATTCCCCTCCGCATTCACTCATTCATTCGACCTTTTCAATCCTTCACTTGTATCTATACCTTTTTACGGCTCTTGTCTTTTATTTTATTTTCTTTTTCTTTCTCTCTTCCATATTCATATTCTTTTTAAAATAGTCACAGTCATCATACAATGGGTCTCTTATCACTCGGAACACCCATGCCTTGGGACGAGGCCAAGAAGTATGCTGACCACGTCCGAACCCATGGTATCATCCAGTTCCTGAACCTCTGGGAGGCTACCAAGGATTCACAAAAGGATTGTCTTCTCTGGGGTGATGAGATCGAGTATATCGTTGTCAGTCTCGATGAGGAGAATCAGCGAGCCAAGCTCAGCTTGCGTGTCTGGGAGATCCTACAGCATTTGGCCATACAGGAGGAAGAAGCCATGACCGATCCTGCCAAAAGGTAATTCAACAATGCCATCTCGTTTCTCTCTCCTTTATATCCATATCCATATCCATATCCATGTATACTACATGTACTTCAATGATCATCAATGATCATCAATGACCCTGCTGACACACGTCTTTTTGGGTTTACCTTTCTACTTTAATTTTATGCTTTATACTATATGCTTGCATTCAGATTGCTAGTCGACTCATCATGGCATCCTGAATACGGTCGCTACATGTTGGAGGGTACTCCTGGCGAACCCTACATGGGACTTCCTCGCGATCTGTTGGCTGTCGAACGGAATATGAAACTTCGGTATTTAAGCATCGATAAAAAAAACTTTTTAGTCTCCGTCAGGATTAGAATCATGGCTTTGCAAAAAAAAAAAAAAAAAAAAAAAAAAAAAATACTCATAATCTTTATTACCTTGTTGCTTGCCACAACTATTTGCTTTATTTTAGACGTGAACTGGCCCGTTCGCTCATGAAGCCAAATGAGGTCCCTGTAACACTGACATCTTATCCCCGTCTTGGATGTGCTGGAGAATTCCTTGAGCCCCATCATGAGCCACATGGTCCAGCTGCTCGCAGTCTCTTTGTCCCAGATGATATCATTAATGCTCACGCTCGATTCCCGTAAGTTTTTTTTTTTTTTTTTATAAAAAAAAAATGGATACACGCTGTGAGTTGCTTCTCTTTAATAATTAGTAAACTCATTGGATGCTGCGCAATGTTTAAACTTTTTATGTTTTTATTTTATTTTTTTTCTTAATGTTCCCAGAACTTTAACCGCCAATATTCGCCGTCGCCGTGGATCCAAAGTTGCAATCAATATGCCTATTTTCCACGATGTCAATACTCCAAAACCTTTTATCGATCCTACTATCCCAACTTTTAATGACTATCCCGAGGATAAGAATGCGATTGAAGAAGGAGCTGCCAAACCAGATCATATTTACATGGACGCTATGGCTTTTGGCATGGGATGTTGTTGTCTACAGATCACATTTCAGGCGGTCAATGTCGATGAGGCACGCAAGATCTATGATCAAATGGCGCCATTGGGCCCCATCATGTTGGCCTTGACAGCTGCTGCTCCCATTTATCGTGGATATTTGAGTGATGTTGATTGTAGATGGAATGTGATTGCTCAATCCGTAGATGACAGAACCGAAGAAGAGCGTGGACTCAAGGTAAAAAAAAAAAAAAAAAAAAAAAACTCCGCCTGATCTCGGAAAAGAAAGAGAGGAAAAAAAAAAAAAGGGCTTTACTTGATCAATGCTGTGTGTGACACATGGACTTTTATTGCATTCTTTACTGTACTCCTTTACCAAAATCTTTTTTATTTGTCCATGTGGAACGTCAAATGGCACCATTTCTGCACCATCTCACATCTTTTTTTATTCATATCACCTCGACTTGTTTTTGTTTATTTGTCTATTTATTTATTTATTTGTTACTTTTTTGATATTAATAGCCTCTCAAAGAAAACAAGTACAGGATCCCCAAATCACGTTATGATTCGATAGACTCGTACATCTCTAATGACCCCAGCTACAAGCCTGAGTACAACGACATACCCTTGGTCTACGACGAGGACATTTACAAAAAGCTTTCCGACAATGGCATTGATGATCTCTTGGCTCGCCATATCTCACATCTCTTCATCCGTGATCCCTTGGTGATTTTCCATGAGTTGTTGAATGTGGACGATAACGAGAGCACAGACCATTTCGAGAATTTACAGAGTACCAATTGGCAAACCATGCGTTTCAAACCCCCACCTTCAAAGACCAGTCCTATTGGTTGGCGTGTCGAGTTCCGCTCAATGGAGATTCAGTTGACAGATTTTGAGAATGCAGCCTTTGCGATCTTCATTGTCTTGGTCACCCGTGCTGTACTAAGCTTCAACACCAACTTTTATATTCCTATTTCCAAGGTAATTTTTTTTTTTTTTTTTTTTTTTTTTGTTTTTTTGTTTTTTGTTTTGTTTAATGGGACAATAAGGTATGGTTATGGTTAGATACATTTTTAAACAATATTCTAATTTTAATTTAACTTGTTGTTAGGTTGATGAGAACATGAAGGTCGCCCATCATAGAAACGCCGTTCTTCAAGAAAAGTTCCATTTCCGTAAACAAATTTTCCCTCAGTCGCGACCTAGCACACCAGCTTCAGGAACCCCTTCTGGATCACCCCGTGTAACCCATGCGACAGTACCTCATATGACAACTATCAACGAACAGGATCCAGCCCATACAGACAACAGCAACAGTAGCCACCATCACCATCACCAACAACAACCTTCCGCAGGAGTGGATAATGAGTATGAACTGATGACGATTGATGAGATCATCAATGGCAATCCAGCAAAGGGATTCCCTGGACTGCTGGGATTAGTCAACAATTATTTGAACACATTGAACATTGATATTGAGACACGATGTGAGATTAGCAAATATCTTGAATTGATCAAGAAGCGTGCGAATGGAACATTGATGACAGCAGCCTCATGGATCCGTCAATTTGTACAGAACCATCCTGATTATAAGAAGGATTCGGTTGTGTCCGAAAAGATTAATTTTGATCTGATCAAGACTTTGGAGAAGATCAACAAGGGCGAAGTTCAGGTACCGGAGCTCCTTGGCAACTTTTCGGTATAGAATAATCAAAACAAAACAAGAAAGAAAGAAAGAAAGATGTAGAAAAACAAGAGCATATAAAAGTAAAATAATATGAACCCATAGATATTGGAACAGATTGCAACAGGCGCTCGTCTCCCTTTTTTTGCGCAGCAAATTCTTTTTTGAGAAAGTGTAATTGAAGGCCAGTCAATTGTTGGAGGGGGCTGTGGCGCATATGACTCGATGAAATGGAATGTGAATGTGACTGTTTACACTTAATTCTTCTGAACAAGTGCCCTCTTTATCTTTTTTCTTTTGACTCATTCATTCATTGTTGAAATCTCTTTTCATTCTTTCTTTTCAAAGGAAAAAATTAACAATGTCAACTTTTGGAACCCACTTCCGTGTTACAACCTTTGGAGAGTCACACTGTAAAGGCGTTGGTTGTATCATCGATGGATGTCCACCTGGACTTGCCTTGACTGAGGATGATATCCAGCCTCAACTAACTCGCCGACGCCCTGGACAAAGCAATCTCACCACTCCTGTAAGAAGATCAATCCTCATATTACATTATATCTTATGCCTTATATCTTATACACTATACCTTATATCCTGTATCTTATATCAATGCGTTCTATGATTATCTTTTCCTCATTATTGTTATCATGATTATTAACTTTTTTTTTTTTGTGTATGTGTGTGTCTTTCCCAAATAGCGTGATGAGAAGGATAGGGTAACGATTTTGTCTGGTACAGAATTTGGACACACATTGGGAACACCGATTGGATTGACAGTCCCGAATCAGGATCAGCGTCCTCATGATTACACTGAGACGGATCTGTACCCTCGTCCTTCTCACGCTGATTGGACCTATTTGCTCAAATATGGATTGAAGGCCTCATCCGGTGGTGGACGTGCTAGTGCTCGCGAGACAATTGGTAATGAAAGAAATAAGTGAAAGGAAAAAAAAAAAAAAAAAAAAAAAAAAAAAAAAAAAAAAAACCATTTCCTTGTGGTTCGAAGGAAGGAGAAATTTCCCAACAAAAACAAAAATGATCTGAAGAATGCCAACTTTTTATTTTTTTTTATTTTTTTTATCTATTTATATATTTATATATTTGTTTATTATTTTTATTCTAAAAAAAAAAAAAAAAAAAAAAAAAGGTCGCGTGGCTGCTGGAGCGGTTGCGGAAAAGTTCTTAAAGGAAGCATTTGGTACTGAGATTGTGGCATTCGTGTCATCAGTCGGTAAGATCGCCATGCCCTTTATTGAGGAACAAAACGAGAACGGAGTTCCTTCTGAACAATTTGTAGAGATGTTGAACACAATAACTCGAGAGCAAATCGATCAGGAAGCTACTCGATGCCCCGATAAGGAAGTTTCCAAGAAGATGACTCAGGTAATATAAATAAAGCGGAAGGAGGAAAAAAAAAAAAAAAAAAAAAAAAAGAGCTCGTTATATTTTCTGTCTTATGATTCATCATCTCACTCTGTTTTTCTTTTTTCTTTTTTCTTTTTTCTACCTTTATAGCGCATCATTGAAGCCAAGGAGGCAAATGACTCGATCGGAGGAACCGTCACCTGTGTGATCCGTAATGTGCCCACAGGACTTGGAGAGCCATGCTTTGATAAATTGGAGGCCAAGCTTGCTCATGCAATGTTATCGATCCCAGCTACAAAGGCCTTTGAAATTGGCTCAGGATTTGGAGGCACACAGGTACCGGGACATTTGCATAATGACGCATGGGTCCAAAAGGTCAGTCGTAAGGGCCAAAAGATCTTGGGAACCAAGACTAATTTCTCGGGAGGGATCCAAGGAGGAATCTCGAATGGTGAAAATATCTATTTCAGAATCGGTTTCAAATCTCCTGCAACCATCAGCCAAGAACAAAAGACAACGAGTTACAATGGTGTGGATGGTGTCTTGGCAACACGTGGTCGCCATGATCCCTGCGTGGTTCCACGTGCCACACCCATCGTTGAGGCCATGGCAGCTTTGGTGATTATGGAGTAAGTCTAAAATATTCATTTGATTTTTATTTCACGCGTAGGTCTGTTTACGCGATTTCATCTAACCACATCAATATTTTACTTTTTTTCAAAAATAAATAGCGCCACTATGGCACAATTGGCAAGGCAGAGCGCAGCCTCATTGTTGCCACCTATGCCCGATACTCCTCTTCGCCCTGCACCATTTGTCATGGCTGTCCCTGGTGGCCAGGCCATCAAAGTTGATGAAGCTGCTAAGCCCAAGACGGAGTAAGGCAACATATGGAACGGAATACCATCTTTCAGAAAAAAAAACCTATTCTAATAGTTTTTTTTGTTATTACTCATACAAACAACGTGTCATCATGCAATACATCAATAAATGTGTACATCCTATTCATACTTGAGAGGTAATCATATTAGAAGTATAATATGACTAAGACTAAGATTATAGCCATTGTATAGTATACATGACTGTATAACATAGACGTGCAGCTCATTATCGGCGTCTGTTCCAGAAAAAAATGTGTCCTTTTTGCCATTCACTTATTATTTATGAAGGAACGGATGGCAACATTAAGTTACTCTATAGGCAACGAGAGTTAACCTCTACAATCAGTGATTGCCAAGGTTCCTCTACCGTAAATTCCCGCATTTTGCGTTTGCTGGGGATAGTGATAGGTTCAGATATTGATCCTGGAGTGTCATTTTAAAAGGATAGACGTTAGTATAGTACTTTGCAAGTACCATTAGAGATGTTTGCTGAAAAGCGAGTGTATAAGAGGGAGGGGAGTGTACTTACTGACTGCACCTTCGTGAACGCTAGTCTGGCAGGCAGGCAGAAAATGTGCTTACTTAGCCTGCCAAAAACATGCCAGCCTTTGCGACTGGACCTAACTTGGAGTCAGAGAAAAAAGTCAGCAGGTATGTCATCACTATCACGTTCAACATATCCTCCCATAGTCCGCTCATATAGCAGTTTCAGTAGCTTTAGTATTCTAGGGTACCAAAACCTATTACAGATATGAGGAGCGTAGGGTTTTGCTTTTGTTTCTTGGAGCACTTACATTATACTTGAATAACAAGCTTTACCCAACTTGGCCTTCGCTAGATTCGGTGTGTCGCGGCGCATCTCAAGCATATTCGACTTCAGGCTAGAATCAAAGTGCGACTTTTATGATAATAAAGCATTGTTGTATATACGCACTCCATGTTAGTGGTAAAATAATAAAAATTGAGGTTGTGGACACAGCAAACTCCTACAAACTTCCTCTTCAGACTCTCCCAAAAGGGCCTAGAGCCCCTTCTGAGCCCCAATAGTAGTCAGGAAAACAGCTTGAACCGCTTCGCATGATAAGAGCAAGTTTTCTTATGTCCACCAGTTGTACATGGCTACCATACATACACTATTTTATCTCTTGATCTGTACCAAATCGAAATTAGTCGGAGCAGAAGAATAACTGCGATATCTCGGGAGTGACGAAAGCTATGATTGTTTACGTTTACAAATTCATGAAGAGAGGGGGTCGATCTCTCCCAGTCATTGTTATATTCGAGCGCTTTGCAGGTACTACTGAGGAAGTTCTCCTCACGGCCCTTGTTGCTCCTGAGATGTCGTATTTGAGGCAAGGCACATCATGATCAAAATACACTACAGCTATGGCAGTATTTTTGACCTTAGTGGGACTAGACCTCAAGAAGCTAGTGCATTTGGTACGGGAGTAACGCGCGTTAGTGGACTATTTATGAACGCTAACAACTTTATATCCTAGCGATTTGACCTAATTCTATCGCTGTTAGAGACGACAAAAAAAAGAAAAAGGAAAGGAAAAAGAGTGTTTCGAATGACAGTTATCTTTAGATCAGACTGGAAACTTGGCAACATACCTCTAAAAGAAACCAGGAAGGAGGTAAAGAATAAAAGAGCTAGCCACTTGATGTTTTGTTTTTCTATAAGCTGGAGGTAGGAGATGGGATGAAAAATGGTGAGAGCTGAAAGATGAGTGATGATACAGCTTGATATATGATTTTTTTTTTTTTTACTACTCATTTTTTTTTTTTTACTACTGATTTTTTTTTTTTTTTTTTTTTTTTTCATTCTTGGCAAGTACGAAAATCCTTTTGTCCGACTCCATTGTCATGCTCTAACTTAAGTTTATCCAAATGAGCGGCAACTTTAAGTATCATACCTAAATCAACCTGATATTGTCCAGGATGTAACGAGGCTTACACACCGTGTGCCGCGAGAGTTTATGCTCTTCATTCGGTCAATTGAGGAAAGGGCGCTCACAAGAAATGACATTGATACGTTTGTAGCTAAGAGAACAAGCACGTTTCACGCTATAGTTTGGACGTACTACGAAACTCGCAGTGAGACATCGAAGAAGTTCGCTAAAAGGCTTGCAACAGTCTTCCTTGGCAACAACTCGCAGAGTAGTGATTTTGAATGGGATTTCCGTGACCTAGGGCTTATCTATCGTCTCAACAAGGACGGCGGAGCCATGAACTATGTCTTGTGCCTCCCAGCTTAGAAAGCACTCTTTCAGGCGTTTACAAACATACCTCATCATGAGCATATCCTGAGGCAAGTAAATCTTGGAGAGGTAGGTGATGATTTCAAGTTGACACTGTTGGTCCGGTTTTTGACTTTAACTAAGCCAATCGTTCTCAGAGCAACAAACCTTTGCGGCAAGGATCTAATGGAGATTAAAATGGACTTTAAGGATCATGGGACAATCCAACAAGGCAAGACTTCTTTCAGACATGGCTATGGACATGTACTGAGTCATTGCTATCCGACTTATCCTCGCTTTGATTTCACACTCGACACAATGTTTATCCAGGTGTTCGTAAGTGATTTCCAAGAACACGACAGGAAACAAACTAAGAAGTTCCAGAACGCTTTTGCTAAGAGAGGTTCCGACAACATAAATAAAATCGAAAGTTATTTGGACGAAGTACTTGGAGGTAATCATTCCGCCGTAATTGACGATGGACATTCTGTTGTCAAAAAGGATGAAGAGACAATAACTGGATTTATAATAGTTTACATGTGTGGTTCCTCTGGTGCACCAAACCACACTGGATTAGTCGACAAGCACAAAGATCTTCTTCATGTCAGCTTCGACGAGCTCAAAGAGAAAGTGTTTAGAAACATCCCAACTTAGAATTCTTGTCACAGTATACAGTAATAATATAGCTCTTAATCCTATAAAAAGGCTTGTCATAGAAATCTAGTAAACACGATTCTTTATTTTGAGATGTATCACGGCTAAAACATTTGACTGGGGGCGACTTTGGATCTCATCTCTATAAAAGAATTTGAAAAGTCGCCCCCACGGTCCGTGCACATTCTCAGACTCCCACTGCTATTTTTTAAACGCCAATTTTCAAACCAATAACCTTATTACTCCCTCTTTTTAGCTCAGAAACGACCTCGCGGATAACTAAAACACTATGAGGAAGGCTTCCAGGGCAAATCGTTCATTATCACTGAACAGATGATGGAGCTGTGGAACAAATTCTCCGCGGATAGCGATGGTTCAATCAGGAGGGTATTGGCTGGACCGATGGATGTCGGCAAATCCTACCTTGCAATATTCCTTGCAGCAAAAGCGTATGCAGAAGGCTGGCCAACACTTTATGTCGCGAATGCCGCTGCACTAGCCAAGTCGGCTGTGGCTGTAGCAGCTAACGAAATATGCCTCTGATTCTTTGCCCTTAATAAGGGCCTGTTGACTACTTTAGACCTTGAAAACTTGGTGCCGGACGAAAACTCTAAGGACGATCCCATAGTTTTTGCCGTCGAGATAATTTTGTCCAGGATACTTTGTCAAAAGAGCAAGAAAACTCTCGTAATCATTGATGAACACGGCGAACTTTTCCGCAAGGACAATAGGTCAAAGCCTGACCTTTTGAACCCATTAATTCACCTAACTTTGTGGCCCAGGATAAGAATGGCGCTCGAGTTGTCTTCGCAGGGACGGCGCATGCCTCATGTGAAAGAGTCTACATCTCGTATGACATCGAGAATTGGGTGGAGTTTGTTGGGCCTTTATCGGACAATATCTTCGGCAGGATTCTATCTTTGAGTGCCTTGCCATCGAGGGATGCCGTAATAAAGGAGGTGGAGAGAGTAACCAATAATGTCCCAAGAGAGGTCGTCAAACTAATAGACTATATTGGTGATGCCAGTGGACTTGATGACGACACTATCAGGATCGGCAGATTCGAATCGGAGCGGTGTAACACATTCAGATTATCAATGGGCAATATCAAGGAGAGCGTGTTTTCATTTCCCGCATACCGCTTACAACGATTGATGACCGCTCTTCTCCAGTTATGTTCTGCAGACGCCAATTTTCAGTCAAGTCCGCCTTCGCCATAACTATCAATAAGTCGCAAGGACAGACACTTAAGCATGTCGGTGTTTATCTTCCTCAAGCTGTCTTCAGTCATGGCCATCTCTACGTCGCTTTACCACGGTGTACTGACCCAAACAATCTTAAGGTGCTGGTCGGGAATGGGGAGGTAAAAGATAAGCCTGGGATATACACCCGAAACATTGTCTTCAAGGGTGCTTTGTAGTCACAATATCTTTGGTCTTCAGATATTTTGTCGCTTCTTCATCTCCAAGCCATTCACGTTGACTTTCAGCTCATCTCTGACGTTATTTTGCCAGATATTCTTCTCTTGGTTGTAGCACTTATTTTCGTATTTTACTTTGTATTTTATTTTGTACGATAAAGATAACCTGTTACGTTGCTCTCACAAAATAAAGTATCAACTTTTTTTACGAGGCAAGAACAGCCCGTGTAATTAATATATAGAGATATATAAATATACTCAAATAGGCCTATAGTTGTAGGGAAACAAAATATTAGCTCCAAGGCGAGTTGAAGCCGCATTTAGGGTGTACATAGGACACTCGATCGTAGTAACTCTATCGTTCAATTATCGCTTCCTGTATTTGAAATTGTCATGAAAGGGGACATTGGCATTGAGAGAACACTCCAACCCTTACATGATTATAATATGCTTCAATATAGACCCTTTAATGAAGATAAAGAAATAAGGGAAGAACATCCGAATATACAAGTTGTAGAGCCATCTAGCCAGGTGGATAACGGTAGATGTGATTTTTTGTTGATCCAGTTTTCCTGTATGCTCCTGCATATGTCTGTTCGTCCGTTTTGTAATACATGGGCTTTTTGTAATCCAATTTCTCATGCAAAATGGCAGCAATCCTATACACGTCCTCTTCGTCTTGATAATCTGGTGTATACACAATTATGACACCTGATTTTGAGCTTGTTGCATTGGGATTTTCCATTGCAGTGGAGCATTTTGCTACGCCTCCCAGTAAATCTTGTTCAACAAGTCTTTTTACAGCAGCCCACTTGTCATCGAGGACGGATTTGTCGTAGAAGAGCATCCATTTTCCTGTGCGTGGACCACTGACAAAGTCCTTGGATGGTGACTTGGCCCATAGCCAATATGTGTCAAATGTCTGGGTGGGGATGGAGACTTTAGCTGTTCCTGATGTAGACATAGCAAGTTTGGAAATATACGTCTAGTTTTTTGGTAAGTTCATTGTTTGCTTTATTTCAGTCACGTGGGAGGGCTCGCCACTAACTCTCTACAAGCAACCCAGAAACTCTGGCTCTTTGTTCCTTCTTTTGCATAAGAACCATTGGAGTACTGACCGTTCTCGTTCAGTCTTTTGCATTGTGTTCTTTATTTGTGCTCAAGAAGTATTTTGTCCATCTGTAGCTGGGAGCGACCGGCTTCACAGTCAGCCCCTAAACTTCCCAATAACACCTGAAGTAAAACTCAGCATAGTTTACTTTCTTACCATTACAGATTGAGAGAGGGATGAAAGTACCAAATAGAATCGATAGTGAGAGAGCGAGACCAAGTGGCCGACAAAGAGATATTTATAAAAGAATGGTGAAACCTGAAGATGATGTGGAGAGGAATAGCGGTGCTTGGACCCCACATATTTGCCTCTCACCTTCTTCCTTGCTCGCAAGGATCTCACACTAAACTGATAGGGTTCATGCCGCAGTGACACTTGAAACCACTATACTTCCTAAGCACCTAGACCATGTATCCATTGAGTATCGGACACATTTTGCGTCTCTCCTTATTTGCCTTTCTCTTGTACACTCTTTTTCCTTGCGCATCTTTTCCTCATTATCTTTTTCCTCGTGCACGTTTTCCTTAGCCATCTTTGTCCTCGTGCACGTTTTCCTTAATTATCTTTTTCCTCATGCATGTTTTCCTTAACCATCTTTTTCCTCGTTTATGCTTTCCTACCTGCTGACTTTTTTTTTTCTTTTCATTTCTTAGAGATCATCTATGGAAATATGGACCACGCTTGGCACAAATAAAGCCCCAACCTTCCTCAACGTCATTGGTACGTCTTGTACTTTCCACTTGGATCACTACTGATATAGTTTTTTTTAATCCTTTGCTTTAGATCTGACTCGATCGTATCCAAATCAGAATTAACTTTATCCCCGAGGTAGTCATGTTGCGAATGAGTGGCTAATAATCATATGACATTTAAAATATTGACATTGGATATCGCCTAGCAATGGTCCAACTTCTTCATGATCTAAGGATTCGCTCCTCTAAGAAATAGGGCCAATGCGCCATATAGTAGATTTCAGATCATGTGGTTGCCATCCGAAAGCAATATCAAGTGAATAGCTATCACTTCTATAAGCCTAATTATGACAGAATGATTTTAACGAATATTTTGTAGTACTTGCTTTGTTATTTACTATTATTAGTATTCATAGCATTCGGTAGCTCCAACTTTCTACTATTTGCCAGTGTCAAGGTGTTGTCGGTTGGGATGCCAACCGAAGAATAAAATAAAAAAGCATATGAATATTCGGTGCTCTTTCTCAGCACATCTGCTTCGGGGATAGAGGTTATTCTATGAAACTAATATCACGGCATCTAGAGACATGAACTTCGATACGATCGGATCAAATTTGGTTAAAACACACCTCCAAAACTATGCTTAAATAAAAGAGTTGCTATTTCAATAAATAACAAAGCTGGAAGTACCGTAGAGGAAGACGAGAGCTTTATTGGTGTCAAGTATGAACAGCGCTTATATAAATGGCTCTTAGGAAACGAAAAGGATATACCGGCAGAGAGGAAGGCGTTGACATATTTTTTCCTGGTAGTATATTCTGAGGGCATGAGCTGTGGTCGCCCTCGATGAGATAAAAAAGTATCCCACTCCCGCTCGATTTGGATCGATTTCTTCTTTCCAATCCATTGATTGCGGTTTCTCGATGTTCTTTTCAATAGGAAGAATGAATAAGTAAGCCAGATACTCCTCTTTTTAGATACTTTTCAAATATACGTATATTCACATGAAATTATGAGCTGATTAGAGCTAAGTACCCTTTTTGTTTATGAAAAAGATACGTTATTGCTTGCTCAAATGCCGTCGAATATTTGTGAATGTTCTTTGATGCTCTAGTCGATGGTATTTCATGCAGCATCATTTCAATAAAGACCGGTTTGTTTCCCATCGATACATTGGCCATCTATGTGATAGGTATTATTAGACGGGCGACTCGTGACTTCGTTCACAGTCGTCCACAGTCAGTCTAGTGTTTTGCTAGGCTCGTCATCAGCCTAAGGTCGGAGCCACCAGTGCTCCTATTCGATTCGAATAAGCCCTATCCTGGATCGATTCGAATAGTTCGAATGGTTCAAGTATCGAATGGTTCGAATGGTTCAAATGGCTCGAATGGTTCAACTAAAAATAATAATAATAATAATAATGATTGCTCTTACTTTTCCCATTTTCCTTCACATAATACACTCTGGGAAGCCCAATAAATAGCCGTATCAACCTCTTTAACAACGCAAACATCCTCATTGATCGCTAGAGTGTTTATGTACGTTGCAATTGAGGTGTATGTCTAGGTTATCCAATCTTTTTTCAGGTGACTTAAAGTTCACCGGCGCGCTGGAGCTATGTTGTTGCTGGGCATATTAACCTTTTGTTTAACTTTTATTCTATTAACTCATTTATTTTTTACCAATCGGGATGTTTGTAAATCCATAGTAAAGAAAGTTTCTTTGTGCAAAGGCCTTTCATTAGCTATTGGCGAATCCCCCTCCCTGGGCCTCATCAGGAACTACCACGGCCATGTCTACAAATAGATAATATAAAGAAAGAGTCTGGCTCAAGCAAGCCCTTGGTCTTTCATCCTGCAGCCTTTTTCTAACTTACCTTTACACATGTTAGTTCCCATTCCACCTTCAAGCTCTAGATTTTCAGTGATTCGGTCCTTGTTCTTACCCATAACACGCTCCTCTCACTTTCTGACATCTGATGGTGTCCCTTGTAAATTTACCTTTATTTCTCTCTTTATTTTCCTTATCACTTTATCCCTTAGCGGAGATACACTTACTTTTTACAACCTAGTCTTTTCTTTTTTATTTTTTTACACTGCTGAACAATGTAATGCTGGTGAGCCAGTGATGGTATGGTGTACCCTAATACAAAAGTGAACCGGCACACCTAACCTGAAGCCAATGGCGGAGGAAATAAAGAACCTGCCATCTATCGCGTCATATACATATAGGTTCTCGCGGCGCACCGCGACTGAATTATTTACATACTTTACTACACCAATGATTTGATAACGCAACGACTATATGGTAGCGGCAGGTCGTGTTTACATCCTCATTGCTATAAAGATAATAGTAAAAAGATATGAAAGAATAATTAGTGCAAGTGTTGAATTTCTCCCATGAAGCAGCATGTAAATCAGGTATCAATCAAATAATAATAGCACATTCACAGATATAGTTATACTCTTGCCTTTTTTTCATGAGTGTTCGAAAGTGAGAGTGTCCAAATGTTCTGGGGACGTGCCTTTGACACAGGGTCGGACATCTAATGGTGTAGTCTTTCTTGCTTTATTGTCCTGTTCCTCACTTTTATTAACCTTTTCTGCTACTTCTCTTCTTTATTAGTATTTCGTTTACTTTTTTTTTTGTGTTCTGTTGTTTGGTGCTTTCTTTTCTTACTTTTACTTTCATTGACTTCTTGGTACTTACCTTACTTACCCGAGACTGTCCTCCCTACCACCCTATACAGTCCCTTAGTTGGCAGAGTAAGCTTTGGCGTTTATTGAGGACATTCGATGAAAACCATCCTGACCCGCCGTCTTTTGCGCTTATAGAGGGTATTTGACAAAGGACTATACTATTGAGGACTATGTCTGTACTAGCGCATAGTGATCACCTACGCTGGATGCCGTCAAAAGTCATACGATCAAGTGCGTGCTCTCTCTGGTGTTATTTGATCATTGATCAGACTCACGCATGTCCACTTACTGCATACATATGTGTCCTGGATATGTTACTCTATAGCCAGATACGCAGCTCTACTTTGACCTCGACTGTATAAATGTCTCTTGCGTGCGATGTGTAGATCTACATCTTTTTTTCTCTCTTCATTTCCTGTCTGTCATTATGACCAGTTAAACTTTTTCATCCTCAACTGAAGATATGAACACATATTTCTCACCCATCATTTAGTGAAAAAAATACAAATCAAATAAGCTCCAACATTGTCCCCACTGCCTGGGACAATGTTACTGCTTCTCTCACAGGCAGTCCGTAGCGCAACTGCGTCACTTCAAACCCGAGAAGGCCCTAGAATGGCTCAGAGAAAACCGTAGGCTCCGCTTCGGCAGCGGACCCAAGAAGGCATATCGAAGCCCCTCACGTGTAAGACAGGAGAGCACAAGCAATGCTCGAAGTGTGATCCCTGAGGGTTTTCTGCTTCGGAATGTATCCAGAACCCTTAACTGAACAGATGGGTACTATGCTCTTATCCCAAACAATTCTATGACAAATAAACACACTACTATAAAAAAAAAAACCTCTCTTCCTAACTTTTTTTTTTTTTTTTTTTTTTTTTTATTATTATTTTTTATTGGAGAAATGCCCATCAACAACGTTGGACCGCCATGAACTTCTTGTTGACGACCAACAGCAGGGAGGTCCGGATTGCTACAACTCTAGGCTTGTTTCTGCGGGTAAGGAGGCACCTGCTTGCACATATCAGCGGTAGCTCTCCCAGTTGACATTTCATTTTACAAAGTTGGGCGAGTACGCCAGGCTTACATGTGAGATGATTCTGCGATAAGGAACGGGGGACCTGAAGGCCAAGCCAGGCCCTTACGGGGAGAAGAGTAGCAATCTGTCATGCCTCTCTACTCCCTGTGCCAGGCTTGAGCTCCTCTGGGGCATTTCGTTCTGCCTGGCATTACCTGTCTATACCACCATCAAAGCCTCCAGAGCGTATGGCAGGCAACACTGAAGCACCTCCTGGAGATGGAGGCATTCGTGGAGACGATTGAAGGCCTAGGTCTGCTTCCTTGGCGAAGGAACAACCCACCTTCGACAACGACCTCAAGCCCTGGCTCACAAGGGTTGCCGAGAGCGCGTTCCCCAGCACAGGTGACGCGAGACAGTAGAAACGGGTTTACGGCTTTCGAAAACATAAGTCAATAGAGGGACGTAGCCATGGCCATTGCCGGGAGCCTCACGTCAGTATTCTCGCGCTCCAGCCCTGTATCGCCGCCACTGAGCAGCAGCGCTATCAGAAACGTCAAAGCGCAGCACCCAATGTTTTGCGTTAGAGGTACAGCGGCTCGATATCAAGGGGTACCTAAGGTTCTCAACGGTCCAGAAGAACTTTGGGGACCCATTAGAGGCTGAAATACACTAAGTAACGAGAACGAAAGAAAGATGTCTTTATTATAATCCAGGGATCTTCGTTAAATATAAAAGGGTAAAAATCTTAGCTATAGTAAAAAACCCATATAATTTACTACTAGTCGCAACAGAGGCAGCGGCTGATACAGTGGCTGTGGACTCGGGCTTCGGGCTGGAAGGCGCCAACGAGGTGTTCATTAGAGCACTAATACCGTTAGTGCCTTTGTGTATCTTCTTCTTATATTAAAAACTCTCTTCTCTCTTCTCTTATATTAAAATATTACAAAAAATTATGTGACAACCAAAAAAGATGACTTCAAAAAGGCGAAGTGACTGGCGTGAAACAAAAAAAAAAAAAAAAAAATGAAGCTTCTTCAATAATTAGCTTCCTAATCCACACCTCTGAACCTTAATTCATTTTTTTTTTTTTTTTTTTTTTTTTCATTTTTGAAATGATGCTCCGTACGCTCCACAGCTTTCCCTATTACACCCTTGGGATCAACATCGGGTTTCATCCAAGCACGACGATCTCAGCAGGCTGTGTAACGTATTTAAGTGCGACCCATAGATGCTGAAGAGGAACAAATACAAAGCCAACAGGTAGTAGAGGATGTCGAGGAGAAGCTGTATGGTAAGATCTACAGCTCCATCAACGAGTGTACAGAGCTTGCTTTGGTCGAACAAGAGGGGAAAGAAGAGAAAAAGGACGAATAAGAGGAAAGAACACTTGAAGAAGAAAAGGCAAGAGAAGCTGGGATTGCAGCCGAAATCGGCCCTTCATCGAAAGCATACTCCATGGTTGGTAGAGCTTTTTGGAGAGTGACAGATGCTCAAACATGTCGGTGTTTATCTTTTCCCAAGATACTTTCAGTCATGGTCATCTCTACGCTGCTTTGTCACGATGTACAAACCCAAATAATCTAAAGGTACTTATCATAAACGGTAAGATAAGAAATAAGCCTGGAATATACACGCGGAACATTATCTTTAAAGATGCTTTATAGGCACGTCACCTTTTGGTCGTCATTTACCATGTTGTCTCTTCGCTGTCGTTATTCTAATGCTGTGATTACCGGATATTCACCTTCTTGATTGTTTTTTATTTATTTTGTTGTGTCTTATTTTTTATTTTTGCATGTTAGTTTGTATCTTAGTTTGGTATGTGTTTACATTACTTTTTTTTTTTTTTTTAAAAAAAAAAAAAAAAAAAAAAAAAAAAAAACACGCAGTTTACACACAGCTTTTTGTAGCAGTAAAGGCCTACATGGGCTTATTGATTTCACCTTTACCAAAATGCAAACCTTATGTTGCTGCAGACTATGTTTCTTTTTTTTGTCTTCACGAGGCAAAGTACTAAATTTTCTAACGAGACAAGAGCCGACCGTGGCTTCGCCACGGTCTCCGGCTCGTATATTCTAAAACGAAACAGTGTCTGCACGTGCCGAAATGTAACTGCCATGAAGGCAAAGGACTGCTATAGAGAGTGCCTTTGGCCTCAACATGGCTCCCTGGGTGAAAATAAAGAGGTATCTTATTTGTAAATGAAAGAGAAAATAAAGGGTAGTACTCTCTTCATTGCAAATCTCGACACCAAAAAATCTTTGCTCAAAAAAAAAAATTTTTGACCTCTACTCTGCTACTCATTACATATCATATACAAGTCCTGGGACTATTGATGCACTCTTTAGTACGGTACACCATACACACTATTAAAGGTCATGTCAACAATATACGACGCGAAAGTATATATTATGGGCCTGAACTCTTAGCATAATTTACCACTCTAAACCTTCCTCTATCACATTCCTTACTTTCACAAACTTTACCTTCACTTTTCATTTGAAAAAAAAAAAAAAAAAAAAAAAAAAAAAGACATGTTCCACACATTCATCTGTCAGACATTCGCCACCTGCCAAACGTTCTCGCACATCGAGTACGCAACGGGTCATCAAAGCACGACAAGCCTGGTGAGACGAGGTTGGTGATTGCGTGCTTGTGCTTTTTTTTTTTTTTTGTGGTCTGCACCTGCTTCAGTAGAGTGACGTCCTGTTCAGCCATGGCTACACATCCAGAGCTCTATCCAAGCTTCTAACGTAAAGTCATTGTCCTTCACCTTGAATTTTCAGTTGACCGCGGGAGCTGATGAAGCGGCGAAGAGTTTTGGAAGGATGAGTTGTTCTTGAATTCAACCTCTTATATAACGAAGAGTGAACGTGGAGGGAGAGATACATGAAAGGCAAGGTTAAATGATTCTATGAGCATGTTTTTCATAGTGTCCTGTAGAAATTAATGCATGCTTTCAACACCAACCTTTGTGTTTAAAAAGTTCACTTGGCAAACAGTGAGTCCAATGGAGGGAAAGAGGATCACAGTCAAAAGCTTCATTTCTTGTGTAAGATATCACATGCGTCTTTTAAGATCGGATCGTCAAATGGCTGTACCTTTATTTACTGTACTCATTTTATTATTGTTTTGACTAGACCATCGCTGGTGCCATATAATAAAGATAAATATAACGGTATAACTGCTTCTTGCTAACCGAATGGATATAACAAGACTGTCCTAATGTCCCTTGGTAATATATTCTGTATGGTTTTATATGCTACGCACATTGTTGGAACCATGGCAGCTTTGGTGGTTATGGAATAAGACTTTAAAATTTTTATTTTGATTTTTTTATTTGTGTGTATGTGTATTTGTGCATTGTGTATGCATGTGTGTTTACGCGTTTTTTTCTAAAAAAAAAAAAAAAAAAAAAAAAAAAAAAAAGTATTATTATAGTACAGTTGGCAAGACAGAGTGCAGCTTCATTGTTACCATCTATGCTCGATACTCCTCTTCGTTCTGCACCGTTTGTCATGGCTGTCCATGGTGACCAATCTATCAAAGTTGATGCTGCTACGCCCAAGGCAGACTAAGGGAATGTATGGAACGGAGCACCCGCTTCAGGATAGTTTTTGTTGTAATTATTCATACAAACAACGTGTCATCACGAAGTACATGAATAAATATATATATACATGTATATATAGCCCGTTTCATTTGGTCGCGATACCTTATATTTTTTGAATACTTTCGAGTGTATTGGCAGCCAATTAGCTCGCTTGTTACGAGTATTGTTGCAAGTCCGTCACGTAGTGAGATGCCACCAGAACAATTCAATCATCGTTTTTAGATTAAAAATATAAGGTATCGTGACCAAATAAAATTGGCGATATATATGTCTTCTATTCATACTTGAGAGGTAATTGTATTATTAATATTTATTGATATGACTATGAGTATGAGAATGACTATAACTATAACTATAACTATGCTGAAAATTTGATATGTTTGAATGGGGTATAAACAAGCCAGCAAAGACTGGTTGGTAAGCAAATATAAAAAAATTAAGTTGAGGGATATGACCTATATACAATGCAATATGAATGGATGAGGACGCTTATGAAGAAAAGAAAAGAAGAGAAACGAATAGAAAAAAGAAGTCTATGATGACGAAAAGAGCCGTTTTTTTTTGAAAGGCTTTTTCCCGATTAATTGAACTTGACTTGACTTGGACTTGGATTTGAACGGGGGTCATTCTGATTTGGTTTGATTTATAGAGTGACTGCTCGGAAGAATATATTCCCCCCTTCCATCTTTTAAGTTTCTTATGTTGACAGGGTCCAAGGCTTGTTCGAAGAGTAAGACAATCGGTTACCATCCAAAGGCTGCGCAACGACCTCCTCCTTGTTCATCTTTTGATGAGTCGACTAAAAAGGAAGATGGCAGACAGACAAGACAGACAGACAGAAGATGGGATGGGTTCTAAAAAATCTCGTGTCAGAGATGCGAGGGTACAACATCTTGAATTGATCTTTCCTTGGGAGATGCCATGTGGCAATACAAAAGAACCACCTTGACCGCGTCCCACCATGAAAAAAACCACGGAAGAAGGGATATATTTAAAAAAAAAAAAAAAATAGAGAGAGCCCTTGTGGTCGTCCTGCCGAGATGTTGGATGATTCTTTTTTTTTCAAGTATGCATTGCATTGCATTGCATGGCCATGTGGATACTCTTGCCACGACCGTTAAAAGAAGGAGAAAGGAAGAGTAGTGGAGAGCAAACCCTCCATTCGGGTCCCCTTCACATGCGTAAGGGGTTTTTTTTTTATTTATGACTGATCCAGATTCATCGTTTTCGTCCTTGCAGATTATTGGTATTGTCAATTTAATATAACAATATTGTTTCCCCGCCGTCAGTGGAAAAAGAAAGCCATCTCTCTTTTTTATTTTTTTGGGCTGAGATCCTTGGCATGCATGTGTTGGGTTTGTTGAATATTTTGATGAGATTAAAAAATAATAATAATAAAATGAAAAAAAAAGGTGAGCTTTTTGTTGTTGTTGTTGTTGTTGTTGTTATTGTTGTTGCTCCTTAATCCTGTTGTGTTGTTGGGCTTGTGTTTACTTAAACCATGTTGCTGAGATTGTTCAATGCTGAGATTCGGATGGCATGAACAAAGAAGTATAGTTGGGAACTGAATGTTCACTATGATTGGCGAAGACAGGAGACTCTGGCGCAGACGATGTAGAGGCGAGCATATGTGGCGAAGATGGAGGTGTTGGGAGGATAACTTGAGAGGTTGTTGTAGTGTTGTTGTTGATGGTCGTAGAAGCAACAGTGGCCTTGTTGGCATGTTGTTGACAGTGGCAATGATGGGAGCAAGTAACAGTGAATCGGCCCATTGTTGTTGTAATTGTTGTATGGATATCAATGATGAATGAAGGTTTAAAAAAATATTCGATGTAGATGGAGGAAGAAGAAAGAAGCTTTGAGGGTTGATATAAGAAGGAGAAAGTAATTTAAAGCAAAGCAAGAAAACAAGAAAGTAAGAGGATCTTTTTGGATTGCAGGGGAGAGAAGAAGAGGGAAATGGGGAAGGATAGAATGTAGGTTTATATAGTTTTTTTTGATTAGTCTGGAAGTGGCGCTGCAGATTCTTTTAAATTCTCAATTGACAAAC